TTTCTTTTAAAATTATTCAAACATGTTGTTCAATATGAGTAGCTTATCTGTTCAGGTGATAAAAAGTAGTTTATTGTAAAGACTCTAATCTAAAGCTAGCAGCACACTTCACCATTTTCGTTACTCGTACAGGCAATTTTCGTGGTCGGCAATTTTTGTGGCCGTTGCCTCGTCACAGCACACTTCACCATTTTCGTTACTCGTACAGGCAATTTTCGTGGTCGGCAATTTTTGTGGCCGTTGCCTCGTCACAGCACACTTCACCACAAGTTGCCACCACGAGCAATTTTCGTGGTGAGAAATCAAACCGGTTTGATTCTCGGCAACTCGTGGTCACCACTAAATTTCCGTGGTGAGTGGTCGTTACCGGCCCCCGCACACTTGGTCATTTTTGTGGCGACCACGAAAATTGCATGTACGAGCAACGAAAATGGTGAAGTGTGCTGCCCGCTTTAGTTAGGAACGTGGTAGAGACAGACATGGGAACTAGTAGGGTTAGGTTAAGGGCATGGTAGAGCGAAGTCAAAAGCATCGTATATACGGCTAGGTTATGGACCAGGGGCCCGTTGTCAGAAACAAAATTAGTCTTAACATTAGTCTTAACATTAACAATTTCTCCTAGACCGTCGACATCACTTTGTTTCGTATTGTTATGAGGAAATCTGCTACTATTTTTCATTCTCGTAACTTCGCAGCGTTTCTGTCTACGGTCTAAGAGAAAAAGTTAATGTTAAAACTAATGTTAAGACCAATATTGTTTCTGACAACGGGCTCCAGGCTACTGGGCTAGATGATAGGGCCTGGCGGGGAATTCTTTGACCCAAACTGGGACTTCTACCGGGATGTTTTCATCGGCTGTCGCATCGTGCTGCATGAGATTAATCCAGTTGTTTCCCGCCGCCTCTTTCCTTCGCGCACATTCACGACTGACTATGACAGGGCCGTAGGCTGAGCAAACTCCTAGAGGGGGGAGGGGGCAAAATTTCATGACTCAACTGTGTAATGATGAGCGACGGGCGCAGCTCTTGATCGACGTCCATAGTGTGGTAGGGATGGGTCTGATCAGACAAGGCTTTCACCAATAAGTGACCAAAAAAATCACGCTGGGGTTATTTACGATTATTAGCTGAGCTTATTTTTTAATTGTGCTCCAAAATCTAGAGGGAAGCGTCCCCCGAAGCTACTGCCCTGTATGAGCGTTGCGTTATTATAAGCTAACTGGCGTGGATGCGTACGGTTCTATCTGATATGGAGACTATAACTAACAAGACTCTACGCTACCACGATTCTACGAGAACCTGAAGCTATCACAAAAATAGAAGTACAATAGTAGACTAATAGGATGCGAAATTAACTCGAGTCCGGAGTCAAATACTCCTTGATTTACTGTCGGACTCCTTGATTTGACATATGCAGGAGTCCGTGTGACTCCCTGAAAATTCTGCTATACTAAATAGTTCGTTCCAGAGCAAGGCCTCGCGGAATTACCGTATTTTTTCAGCAAATGTCCAAAGAAAATTTGGCAGCCGTGCAACCGCATGAATCTTCAAAATAACCACATGCGTTATTTAGTTTGCATCTTTAGTTTTGAACCTCAGACTGCGGACTCCCTCATTTTGCTGCGGACTCCATCTTTTGAGGGCAGGAAGTCCGTTGGACTCCCTTGTTCAAAAGTTAATTTCTACCCCTACAATACTGCTTGTCTTCCCACAGCCTGACGCCAAGATGGTGATGGACGTCGTGGGTCGCATGGAGGACACGGAGCCGTTCTCTGAGGAGTTGACAGCGTCCATGCAGCGTCTATGGAAGGACACCGGAGTGCAGGAATGCTTTAGTCGATCTAACGAATATCAGCTTAACGACTCAGCTAAATAGTGAGTGCAGCTCCAACTGTGTACTTACGTGTTTCCGTGTGTGTGTGTGTGTGTGTGTGTGTGTGTGTGTGTGTGTGTGTGTGTGTGTGTGTGTGTGTGTGTGTGTGTGTTGTATGTGTGTGTGTATGTGTGTGTGTGTGCGTGTGCGTGTGCGTGTGCGTGTGCGAGCGCGTGCGCGTGCGCGTGCGTGTATGTATGTGTGTGCGTGCGTGCGTGCGTGTGCGTGTGCGTGTGCGTGTGTGTGTATGGGTGAAAGAGAGGAACGGAGAGAGAGGTGGATGTAGTTGTATTTAGCATATAAATATTAAGCAACAAAGTAGTTAATTAACACACGCGATTAACTGTGTAAGCACACCAGCCCATTCACATATGGCTAAATGCTCTCCGCACGGATGTGTCACATTCAATATTCTTACTTAAATGTAAAACTTTCCGTTTTGCTTCGTTTCAGCTTTATAGACGACCTAGACAGGCTCGGGCAGAAGGATTACCTGCCAACAGAACAGGACATACTACGAACCCGAGTTAAAACCACAGGCATTGTAGAGGTCCACTTTTCATTTAAGAACCTTAATTTCAAGTGAGTATTGCGTGATGTTATATATGGTTTATGATAGGTCAAGGCAAATCGGTAGCGACTCTGGTTAGGCGTTGGTTAAAGGCTCAGGGTTTACAGCTATGCCAATATGCCGACATTTGTCTGGATATATAGCTCTCTCTCTCTCTCTCNCTATCTATCTATCTATCTATCAATCTATCTGTCTATCAATCTATCTGTCTGTCTGTCTATCTAGCTATCGATCTATCTATCGATCGATCTATCTATCCATCCATATCTATCTATCTATCTATCTATCTATCTATCTATCTATCTATCTATCTATCTATCGCTTTCCTCTCTTTCTCTGTGGGGGGTGGGTTGCATGTGTATTTGTTTCCGTCTGTCTGTCATTTTATCCCTCCCCCACTTCTTTCTCTCTTTCCCTCCCTCTCTCTCGCTTTTTTTATCAACGTCTTACTGTTCATTCTCTTTTCAAACTCTGGCACTTCTCTCTCTCTCTCCCTCTCTATCTCTCTTTCTCTGTCTCTCTCTCTCTCTCTCT